ATATATGTATGTATGTATGTATGTATGTATGTGTGTGTGTGTGTGTGTATATATATATATATCTATATCTGACCCTAGCCTGTCAGTGCATCTTGTCCTCATCCCCTATGTCCTTCCTGCAACGTAATATAATCTAGGTTAACTGTAGCTAATATGGCACAGCACCACTGTCCTCAATGTCTTATCTCTCTGTTCAGCTTTCTCTCTTTACCTGTGTGTTGTTCTCTTTTTATTAGTCTGAAGCAGTCTCATGTGGTGCAGGGATTTGTGAGCCCCAGGGTTGTAGGAATTTCTTATCTAATGGAGACCCTGTGATCAAAAAAGTAACAACACAGCAATCAATAAAGCTGGACTCACAAGGTTTTCAGCTTGTTACCAAAGTCTACTACCTACATCTAGCTTATTCCTGAAAGTGGAGAACAGAACCAGATGTTGAAATACTGTATGTTGCAGCCCTTTAAGAAAAAAAAGAAGTGCAGCTGATTGGAAAGGAAAATTTGTTGGGAAACACCCACACCCACATCCACACAAATTCCCAACCAATGCTCAAATATAAAGAGGACTACAGGTGATGCACTACTACAAAACTAAACGTTACAAGTCTCAAGTCTTGTGGGTCTTTGTAAATTGCATCAAAGACACTGGTCTTTTCTAGAAAGAGGTTTTGCTTGGGCTTAAATCCGAAAGAAAGAAATAAGAGAGTTAAAGCTTGTTGAGTGCTGCTTCACTGTGGAATGAACTTCAGAGAAAAAAAGGCCTCAAGAACTTTGCAAGCTTTCACAGTGTATTTTTCCACAAAAGCCTTGTAGTAACTATGACAAAACTATTCTCCACAAACACTACCAGTGCTCTAACTCCAGGCTTCACATTTGGTAAATGGTAAATGGACTACACTTATATAGCGGTTTTCGACCATACCTGGGTCAAATTGCTTTACAGATTCACCCATCCACCCATTCACACACACACACACACACACACACATGGATGGTGGCGGAGCTACCATGCAAGGTACTGGCCTGGGCACTGAGAGCAACTTGGGGTTCAGTGTCTTGCCCAAGGACACTGACATGTCTACCCCTGAGCCACAGATGCCCCCATTTGTTTGACAGTGCTGGAAAAATTGGAGCCCTCTTTAAACACTGAATCCTGACAACAGCTGAATATTAATTTTCCTGTAACAATATTTAGATATATTATAGCATATTACAACATACAAATGTGAGTGAAAGCTCTCAGTAGATATACAGGAAAGACAAAGTAATGCCACATCTAAATTTGCCTAAAATATCTTACCAGTGGAGGTAGAATAAGTAGAATAGCATCACTGAGTGAGATTTATCAAAGTGATCCATTTTCCTTCCAGTTACAGCACTCTGGAAGGACCCTCTTTGTATCTTTTCTTTTGCTGCCCTTTCTGTTTCTTTGTCTTTGAGGCATAACAGCTAACAGCTTTTCTAATTTATCAAAAAAGGATTGAAATAAAGTAAAATCAATACATCCCTCTTCTTCTCTTTCTCTATTTTCCTAAATCTTCCAAAATTGAATCTGTAGTGTTCAGCCAGCTTTGCTCTGAGGTTATTTTATGAATAAACCTGGCAAAAATAGAGTATACAAAAGCTCAGACTGTGACATTTTCAGAAAAATAAAAGCCTTACTGGCAACATTCTATCATGAAAAGGTGCAGTTTAGCATAAGAAGTGAAAGCTACTGTGGAAAGAGATGAATAAAAGAAACTACTTACCTGAGGCATTTTTCAGGTAGCCATTGGAGTCTGCTGTGGTGTACATGACATAGGGACCTGGCTGGTTAACACCAAAAGGCTGTAAAACACAGATGAAAATGCAAATGAAAAATGTTTTTGACATTTGTGTTTATCATCACCCCACTGTCAGTGAGGGTGAAAGAGGGCGGGGTGGCCAGAATTCAGAAGAGAGCGAGAGAGGAGCAGAAAGACAGTTAGGAGTGTTGTCACCACAGTGACCTTGAACAGTTTATTTCAATTTTCACTTGGTGACATGGCAAATGTCTGAGCTAGCTAGCTTGACTCTGACTGAGCATAAATGAGTGTGACAGCTGAGTGTTTGTTCGCCTGTGTGGGTGGATTCTGAGGGGTTGTCTTATCTCTTCACTAGGAAACGATGACAACTAATGAAGAGATCTGTTGAATCACCCTTTGCTTTACATCAGCTAATTATGGGCCTTTTACACAGTCAAACATACACACTGCAAGAGAGATGTGGCCCTTTATGGTGACACTCAGCAGTGGGTGACAGAGGAATAGAAATAAGGTCTCAAAAAGAAAAGGTGAGAGAGGGAGAGCAGAAAGCCAATGAGGAGCAGACTAGTGGGCTGAAAAAAGACAGGAAGAGAGGTGTGACTAAGAAGAGGAGCAGGAGAATGAAATGAAAGGATAGAGGGGGTTGATGGATGGGAGGGGAGAGTAGTAGAAACAGCCGCAAGCTCCACTCATCTACTGCATTCATCATACCTATCAGTTAGACAACAAGCGGGTAGAAGAGTAGACAAAAAGAAAACTAAAACAACTAATACCAGAAGCCTCTAGTTGATTTCAAAGCTAATGCGTTTTGCAAAGAGCTTTCCAGTGGTAAAAGGTCGAATAAGGAGAGATGCGATTGGCTACTTTATTTCCGTCAAATTCCTCTGTCGACTTACACATGGGTATCAGACATGAGCGTTTCAGAATGAATAAAAAGTTCTTAAATTTGCTCAGTTAAAGGAAGGCTACATTTAACTTCCAAAAGTGCACCATATCATGATGTTACAGTATGTTTTTCATCTGAAGTCTTATATCCCGTCAATTCAAAGTTGTCAACAATTAAGCATAAGTTTACTTACTTTCAACAAAGCGAGAGAGAGCCAGTGACAGAGGGTTAAAACTGAAACTTCATTTTCATCTGGTAAGTCAGTGTCATTCTCTGGTTTATCAGTAAGTCATATTAAATCCTGGGGTCTCACGTGTTGACAGAGAGAAACAGTCTGTCTCATGAATGGTCCGCTGAGGGTTGAACACAAGTTAGGTAGACCATATCATATGGTCTTTAATTAATATTCTGCAATGTAACTAGCAGCCATCAGATAATATTATATGATACTTGGCTAATTTACACTCATCATCATACAGTACAAAAAGAAAGCTAAGTCTAAACCAACATTAGAGGGCCAAGAAAAACATAACCTTCTAATTCATTTAGATAAGACCAAAGTGAGGGCACAGAATCAGAGGGTTCCAGCAACAAACAAACACGCAAGCAACAAAGGTGGGTCATTTGACTTAACAGTTGAACAAAGGCTCAACCTTTGCTGTAACACAATACAGTACCTCCTAGTAGTGCACATTGTTATCTTCAAGGGCACATTCCTGGAGGATTACTTTGGAACACAAATGGCAGATTTCTACTGTTGTCTACCCCCAGTAATTGAGATGGAGGATAAAATCATTGCTGCATTTGGATATAAAATCTCTTCTTACGTAAACTGTAGTACTGTATGACTACTGTGAAATGTTTTGGTGTCTGATAGATCTTCACACTGATGGATCTATTACTCAGACTGGTCTTCTTGGACTATGCTTAATCTTTTCACCAATATCTGAATCAATCTAGGCCCCTGGGTATTTTTACGCCCCGCTGTTTTCAGTCTGAATGCCTGGTGAGGAGCTGTAATTGCACTGTCTGATTAATGAGCAGGATAGCAGTGAATGTGCTGATTTGCTGTTAGACAATGGGTTTTAAGCATCAGAATTTTCCTATTCTTCTCTCAGGTCTCTCTTAGCTTTTCTGTGAGGTTTGCTTGTATGATTGTTCCAGGCTGGATTCACCAAACTCTCTTAACTGCAGAAACTAACTATATATTAATCACTTGTTTCAGCCTGATAAATGCCATCTGTTTATGAGGGGGCACAAGTTTGCACAATTTCTTCACTAGCACTAGCAATTCATACCCTAAATTAAGCAGTGTCAGTAACAGAATATTAACACAGTTACTGAAGACAGTGCTGCAGAATAACTGAACCAAAGAGGAAATATTCTGTCATGAAGCTGTATGCATGTTAAGATGCCTACAAATGTCCTAAAGTAAAGCAGTTCAAGCATAATAGCCAGGCAGTCAAGGAGAAATTAGATGAGAGAGTTATATACCTACAGGTGGTGTTGGTGCACTGCTGGGTGCATATGAGGATGATATAGGACAGAGACCTGTACATAAAGACCTTGAAGATACTGTCAGAGTGACAGAATTTCCCAGTAATAATGACCCATAGAAATGCTTTGCCAAAAATATGCCAATAAAAATCCAACAAACCTCAGCAAATTGGCAAGCCATGATAATGGTAATACGGTGAACAGAATATCAATTTTGCATGGCAGTTATTTTTAAAGAGAAAATGCAAGAAATGATCTTCTTTATGGCATGTAAGATCAAATCTAAATAAGATGTCCTGCAGGAGGCTCAATGTTCTTTTGTCTTTTGTTGTTATGTTTATATGTATGTTTTATATTTGATTGTGATCTTTTAAGTAAAATATGTATTGATGATGATTCCTTCATCAAGCTTTTGTTAACAAGACAAACTGTAGAGCCACACATTGATCCTCATGCCAAGTTGGGAGTCCTCTGAAAGGCTGACCTTAACCTTGTGAAAGTTTGTATGTGTCCAACTTGTAAGCACAGTCTGGACTCTTGACACCAAGACAGACACGAATCTCTGGATATCTCACAAACCTCCAGAATTTGAGCAGAGAATAAATTTGGGATGGATACCTGTTATTATAAAAGTAATAATACAACTGCGTCTCAGCAGAGCAAAGTCTTCCTGAACAAAAACAAGCAACAATCCTCAAAATGTTTTTTTTTTAACCAAGGACAAGAGTTGAAAACAAGGCAAACCTGGCCTTTATAATCGGTCAGCCAGCCTTATCTCACCTGCAGCTCATTCTAATGCAACAGTGAGTACTAGTGAAGCACAGAATTAATTTTAAGACTCATTTGTTTTTAAAGCACTACATGGTTTGTCACCAGGTTGCATGTCTGAACTCCTCATTCCACCTCCAAAGCCCTCAGATCTATTGACCAGTTCCTGCTCCATATTCCACACAAACATTTCAAATCAATAAGTGATCGAGCCTGATACTCTCTATTAGATATTCCACCTCCACTCAGTATATTTTTAACACCTATCTTAAGACCCTTTTCTTTAGCCTGTTAATTGTCTTTAATCCAGATTCTTTTTAACGTCTTGTTTTATTTGATATTTCCCATTTTTTGATTTCAATTATTAATTCAATAATCTAATAATGTTGTCTGTAAAGTCCTTTAGTCAACATCTGCTGACATCTTTAAATGTACTATATACAACAAATAAAATGACTTATTTGCCCTTATATTATAGAATCGTACAGGCCACAAAAATATCTGATATTTTATTAGAAAATGCCAAACAAGGAAAAAAAAAATACAGTATGGCACCTACATACTTTCATTATGAAGGTCTGATAGCGGTCCCCATTTTTATTTCCTTTATGCAAATTTTTATTTCATGCCATAGTAAAAAAGTGACTTTACATATAAAGAAGGGTTTATATGGCCCTAAAGCTAAAAAACACATCACCCATTCAAATTCCTGAATATAAAGTTGATCCTCCCTATAAACATGACGTTTAGTGAGCAGTGGTAGTATTTTAAACTTCCTTCCTGCTAAAAAAAATTGCAGAGACTGGATAAAGATGTATACATGAAATAGAACAGCAGACCTGACCAAACCAAATGTCTCCTCCAAATTACATTCAAAGAAACCATATTTGTTTTCCACCAAATTACTGGCTCTTGTAGTGCAATATCCAATGGCAGTAGCTACAGCATTATTAAAAATTGGTGGTTTCAGTTTTGTTTAAGCATACTTAAGGTTACGGAAGGATCATGTTCTGCTTGAATCCAGAACTATTTGCTGTGACTCCAGACATGTTTATCCATATTTAACCAAAACCATAATCTTTCCCTGACCATAACCAAATTGCAAAACCTAATCTAGCCTAACCTAACCTGCCATCCACCCCAATCAACCCCTTATCAATGTGCTGTTGTTAATAAATGTTCTGCTAAAAAAAACATTGCTTCTGAACATAATACAGCCAGTGATTTAGTTGTATTTAAATATAATTTCTATGAGACAGGGTTGGACAAACACACCTGGTGGTAATGGTCAGGAGAGATAAGAAGCGATGTTACCTTATGAAACATGAAGTCATACAAAGACAGATTTCTTACCTTGACATTGTCTGGGCAGTCATTGGAGCAGAGGCCGCTGAGCACTGAGGAAGACAGAGATGCCTGAGTTAAGACATGCTACTCAGCATGTGTTCCATGTACAGCACAACAACACACCCTACTGTGTGTCATCTGTTTTGGTGCTGTTACTGTGCCCTAAGGGCCACTGCATCAACATGGGTCATCAAACATCAAGCGATCAAACTCACACATAGAAATGAACTTTGCTTACACAATGACTCAAGTTCCACTAAGACAGTCTAAACAAATAAACAAAAAAAAAAATCGAATTCATATGAACTGTATTTAAGAGTTACTCATATTCACATTATATTTCATACAATTTAATCATCTTTTCCATGTGCTAGTTGAATATGGACAAGACAATCAAAGAAGGGATGTAGGAAGTCTAATAAATAAACTACTAGCAATGAGAAACAAAAAATAAATGTGCAAACTATTAGGGCCGTATGTGAATGCATATGCATGTGCTTCATTCATTTGTGTGTACAAGCAGCGAGAAGACAAAATCAGCTGAATTGCTAATCAGTCATTAAAGAAGTAACTTTATTAGCATACTAAGAGGTCCTGGGCCTAGGTTGCCTTGATCTGCTTGATGGAGTCATGCTAAAGCCCAATACTCTGTTAATAAGGTCTGTACACAGTGCTGCACACAATAAAAACAGCAGCCAAACTCACTGCACCTATTTGAAGATAACATCACAGACAGTCACATCACAGACAGTAGGTGGATGGAGCTCCAGTACTGGATAGTTCATCACTATCCTGCCTCAAACATGGTAATCACACATATATACTAATAGCCTCAACATCCCATCTAAACTAAAGTGAACCGATTCCGAGGCATTCCCAAGCCAGATATATATTCCCTCCAGCATGTTCTGGGTCTACCCCGGGGTCTCCTACCAGTTGGATGTGCCTGGAAAACCTCCAAAGGGAGGTGCCCTAGAGGCTTCTTGTGAAGGAGAGGAGGTTCTACTCCAAGCCCCTCCCTGATGTCTGAACTCCGCACCTGATCGCTAAAGCTAAGTCCGGCCACCCTGTGAAGGAAAATCATTTTGGCCACTTGTATTCGCAGTCTTATTCTTTTGGTCACTACCCACAGCTCGTCAGCCACAGGTGAGGGTTGGAGCATAAACTGACTGGTAAATTGAGAGCTTTGCCTTTCGGCTCAGCTCCTTCTTCACCATGACGGTCTGGTACAACATCTGCATTACTGCTGATGCTGCCCCTATCCGCCTGTCAATCTCACACTCAATTTTACTCTCACTCATGAACAAGACCCTGAGATACTTAAACTCCTTTACTTGGGACAGCAAGTCACTCCCAAACCAGAGGGAGCAATCTACCATTTTGCAGCAGAACACCATGGCCTCTTATCCCTGCCACTTCACACTCAGCTGCCAACCAACCTAGTGCGTGCTGGAGGTCACAGTCTGATGAAGCCAGCAAAACCACATCATTAGCAAATAGCAGAGATGCAATTTTGAGGTCTCCAAACTGGACACTCTCCTCCCCATGGCTGCGCCTTGAGATCCTATCCATGACAATCACAAACAGGATTAGTGACAAGTGCCAACCCTGACAAAGGTCAACACTAACTGGGAACCTTTTTGACTTTTTGCCGAGTATACTGTACATACCCGACTTTCACTCTGGTTATACAAGGAACGGATGGCTTGTAACAAAGAACCCTACAAGTTCCAACAAGAGACCCTGTTGTAGGCCTTCTTCAGGTACAGAAAGCACATGGAGGCGGCTGTGGCTCAGGAGGTAGAGTGGGTCATTTCTTAACCGGAGGATTAGCGGTTTGATTCCCAGTTTGTCCAGTCAACATGTCAAAGCAAGACACTGAACCCCCAGTTGCTCCCGGTGATAACACCGGTGTGTGAATGTGTGAGCATTTGCGAGTTCGAATGGGTGAATGGCCAAGTAGTATGAAAGCGCTTTGAGTGTGCTGTAAAAGCGCAGAAAAGCGCTATACAAGTAAAAGACCATTTACATAGGGCAAACTCCCAAGATCCCTCCAGTAATCTTACAAGAGTAAAGAGTTGGTCCGCTGTTCCATGACCAGGAAGGAATCTGCATTGTTCATCCTGAATTTGGTCAGAACCTCTAAGATTATTGCAGTTAGTTAACCAAAAGCTGACTGTGGCTTTTCAAGGGGCCTAGAAAGTTGAATAAGGCAGAAATGAAACAAAAAAAAAAAAAAATCATTAGGTTACTTGGAGCGGAAAAGATCAAAGCCTAGAGGAGTGACAGTGGAGGTCTGACCTAGAGCACCGCAGTGGTCAGAAACAGCCCAACTGAACCACTCGTCCAGTTTGAGCAAACACCACATTAGCATATCACAAGGTTTGGACCAAAGTCATCTATGGAGGGCACTGACAATCAGTAAATAACAGCGATTGGATTTGTCATAATCTGTTAGAGTTTCATGCTGTTAGGGGTCAGGCTACAGGCACCACTGTCACTGACACTAAATCAATAGCATAGAGGGATTAGACTGTCATTTGTTTGAAGTCTCTCTCATTTGGGACTGTCTGCAGAGAGAACAGAGCACATAAGACACTCCCCAATCATCTTTGCAACAGGTCCACAGTATTGGATTCTTTTCCATTTGTTTTGCAACAAAGAAAATGTCTTCACACATTAATGAACAGTTATTTTCACTTCAGCAGTTTTCTGTTTTTATGCCTATGTGATTAACAAGTCAATTGAGAAACCTGAAGTGTCAAAATGCATCTCCTCCCAGAGGAGTCTGTGCAGGTTCTAGCACTAACTGTGAACTCGTATCTTTTTAGTGTTAATCTAGCAGCAACCATTAAATTACATCCTGAGACTGATGCAAAGTGTATACTCAATTTACATGCCTCCACTAGGACAGATGAAGATGTCAGGGCAAGAAAGGACCAAGGAGAACAAACAATGTCATGCAGTTTGAATACAAATACACTGTACATCAGGAAGTGATTCTCAGGACAGCCTTTCACTGGGAAACAAGTGAGATGAGGTGCTTTCTGTCAGTTTAAATTGACACATTCAGGAATTTTATGCACAGTAATCTGTGTTGTTGTGAGCAAAACACCAGAATTTAGTGACATTTTAATTTGTGGTGTAGATGTCATAAAGCTAAATTACATTTGGCACCCCATGGCAATAACACTGTCAGAACACCCATGCCAAACTTTCTTTCTTCTTTTTATTTGCTGTCAAATATTAAACACCTAATAAAGCCCAAATCAAAACCATAAACAAAGCCCTTTTATTCAGGGGTCATTAACACATCCACTGATTACTCTTGAATGTAGAAGGTGTGTTGCAAAAAACAACTGTAAACGTGAGGGAGTGACACATACTGTATATGCTGTGAAATCAAATGCATAAAGAAAGAGAGACAAACTGCATGACTACAAAAGTCCTTCACAACTCAATGAGCATGCTGTTGATCCAGAACGTAGAGTCTGTTAGAGCAGGCACTTGGGTATGTAAGTACACTTATGAGAGAGAGGACACTAAAATCCAGAGTTTCCTCTGTGAGGTCACGTTCTCCATACTACAATCCTAGGTTGACATATAACAAATACATGACAGTTTGTCCACAGCCATAACAAGATTCCTGGAATAGTTCACACGCATCCTATGTGGAACAGATTTAGTCTCTTGCTAATAGAGTCTCTCTCACATACACATGTGTACAGTACAGCCTACACAGCCTCTGTGGGACTGAGCTAGCCCATTTTTTAGTGCAATATTGAGACTGATGGCAGCTCCTTTGCATGACTAACCTAATCAAGTGGGGGATGAACTAGTCTGTGCAGTCTCTGTGGGTGTGTGTGTGTGTGTGTTTGTTTCGATCACTGTGATAATGCGCCAGCCAGTATCTAGCATTTCATGAACAATCTGTGCAAATGTACATTTTGGAGTCTTTGTTTGGTTGTTTTAGGTACAATTTTAGGTCTGTTACTGCAACTGTGAGGTGAAGAAAAAGAGGGATAGTATGTTTATGTCTAATGTTGGAAATAAATTAGGAAAGGCAGTTTATCAGGCCTCCAGATAGATAAAGGAGCATATGTCTTTCATAAAATATAAGGGCTTTGATTTAGTTTAGTGGTTAAAGACAGCTTATATCTAACATAAACATATTCATTATGTTTTGAGATTCAGTTTAGGCTAGAGTTCTATCTAAAGTCAAAGATTTAATGTAAATTTTAAAAAATGATCATTTTGCTACATTTCATCTACACTCAGAACCTATATTGACAAAGTGAAAACAGGATTCAGATTTCTCTGAGTTGTAGATAACTAATCAAATGCAGTCCTTGAACTGTCAAAAACATTCAGTGAGGATCACAGTGTTCTTAAGTATTAGAAGGGAAATATAAAATACTAACCTAAATAGACATGTTTTACTTAGTTTGAGCAAAAAGTGAGAACACAAAATCAACTATATCTTTTTGTTGAGTCTGTAGTCAGACTTTAAGTCAGATAAATAAAGACTTTATATGTTGTTTGTAGCAGCAGATTATTACAACTGACAGTTTGGTGTTTGGGTACTTATAATGATGACATAAGTAAAGGAGTAAGTTAGGTGATGTCATAAACAGAGCCACAAAGTCCAGATTAACAGGAGTCGGGGGAATGGCTGGTGTATATATAACACATGATTTTCCACTGTGTCACATGCTTTTCAAGTAGTGCTTGTTCCTAAACCTAAAGACATTGTTTGTTTGTAATGAAACAATGACAAGTTCATAAACAAAACAATATGTTTATGACAGTTTCCATGACAGCCGAGTTGAGCTACGCATGCCATCATTTTTCTGACTGTTTATATGACAACAATAGTAAAGCTTGCCGGTGCAACGTACATTGTTACTAATGTCAGTGTAGTTCTTGCGATTCTGCCTGCCAATGTACAATAGGAGCTGCATTTCTGGAGATGCTCCTGTGGGTCTTGTGAGAGGGAAGGGATGTATTGGTTGGAGGGCTTGTTGAAATTTTTCAGCTTTGTCTGATCGGG